TGGTCCGGCCGCGCCTCGGCCACAGGAGACTTTCTCTCGCCCGCCCACGCAGCTTCGCCTCGCCCGCACGCACGGCACGCACGAGCACGAGACCGAAATCGATTTCCCGGTCGGGGGGGCTCTCCGTTCCACTTCGATCTCACCCCCTCACCTCCGGCCTGTCGCACCCCGAGGCCAGTTTGTAGGGCGGGCCGGGCGTTTCGCCTTCCTCACCATTTATGACCCTAAAGCTTAGAAATGAGAACATTTTCACAGATGGAGGGCGGGTGGTTTCCAAAATGTGGCTCTCGCCTCAGCGCCACGCACATTCGTTTTCAACATCTGCAAGAGTTTCACGGATTGAGGGCGGGTCGCTTTCAAAATGTGGCTCTCGCCTTAGCGCCGCGCACATTCGTTTTCAACATTTGCGAGAGCGTCATGGATCGAGGGCGGGTCGTTTTCAAAATGTGGCTTACGCCGCAGCGCCTCGCAAGAGTTTCACGGAATCCCATTATCAACGTACAGAGAAATAGCGTTTTGGAAGGATTCTGGATTTTGCGGGTGTCACAGTTATGTTGATTCGCGGTGTTGAAATCAAAGAATTGCGTTGTGGCACAATTCCGGATCGCCAAAACGCAGCAGTCAGGCTGGCACGTGGCGTTGCAATCCCGAGAACAATGCTTTGGTATGCTTCAGGATCCTCACGGTTGTCTTCCAACGAGGCAGTTCCCCCAATGGAAATAAACCGTTGTAGGAACCTATGAACAGGGAGCTTGGAGGGAGGGTTAATTCCAACGTCGTTGATGACTCTTGGGTTTACACTGGTCCTCCTCCTGCTCCTCCTCCTCCTTATCATCATCATCATCATCATCATCATCATCATCATCATCATCATCATCATCATCATCATCATCATCATGATCATCATCATCATCATCATCATCATCATCATCAGCAGCAGCATCATCAGCATCATCAGCATAATAATCATCATCAGCACCACCACCACCATCAGCATCATCAGCACCATCATCATCATCATTAGCGTTATCATTAGCATCATCAGCATCACCATCATCATCATCATCATCATCATCATCATCAACATCCTCATCCTCGTCCTTATCCTCCTCCTCATCATCATTAACATCATCAGCACCATCATCGTCGTCACCATCATCATCAGCATATTCATCGCCATCAGCATCAACATCAGCATTATCATCATCGTTATCATCAGCATCAACATCATCATGAGCATCATGAGCATCATGAGCATCATCATTAGCAGTATCATAATCAGCAGCAGCATCAGTATCATCCTCATCATCAACATCATCAGCACCAGCATCATCAGTAGCATCATCATCAGCAGCATCAGCATCTGCATCATCATCACCACCAGCATCCTCGTCATCATCATCAGCATCATCATCATCATCATCATCAACAACATTAACATTGATATTACCCTCAGCATCCTCATCCTCATTCAAATCATCATCCTCATCCTCATCCTCCTCCCCCCTCATGGAAATCGTGCCGCTCTGGCTCCGCGGGCAGGAGCGCCTGTGGCGGAGGAGAGCGACGACCGGGTGGAGAAGGAGGCCCAAGATGATTGGACAACAACCGCACCCCACACCTCTTCAGACATGCTCGGCGCGGGATGGGATCGCAGAAACACCGCTCCTGGGTGTCCGCGGCTGGATCTGACAGCTATATTCTGCATCTCCTCCCGCGCGAGAGGTGTCCAAGAGGTATGGTGGGCGGCTTTTTCAAATCATCTGCTGTTCTGCGAAAGCATATCGAAGCCGTTTGGAGGGAGCTGCTAGAGGAATTGCAATGAGCCTGTGGGTGTTTGATTTTCCAGTCAGCTGGGGCCTTCAAGGAGCATGATCGAGCTAATTCGAGGGAGCTGCTGGGGAGTCCAAGAAGCCGTCCAGGAGCCCCGGGGGAGCGCTCCAGACATGGCCCTGTTTGACCTCCCTTGGGACCGGCTTGCGGGGCAATTCGAACGTCTTGGGAGTCCCTGCAGCCGACTTGAGGGGCTCCGAGACCGTCTTAGGATCTCTCTTGGGAACTCCCTGGGCGCTCTCCGAACGATTTGGGAGGCTTGTCGGAGCGGGTTGGGCGTCGTGTGGCCGGAGAAGCGATCGCAAGAGGAAGTGCGGAAAATCCTTCAGCATTCGCCAGCCCAACGGGGCAGAGGCGTGCCAAACGCTCCCGTGAGAGTCTAAGAATGCCTCCAGTTCGCGCGCGCGCGCGTGGCGGCCCCTGGGGGTCCCCGGAAAAACACCCGGGCAAGGCTCCGGCAACTCCCGGCATCGGAAGCGGCCAAGGGGTAGCGTCCAAGAAGGGGGGGCGCAAATAATGGCCAGCGGCATGTGTGCGGCCCAGGGGGTGTGGCCGCGGACGCATTGAAGAGAAGAGGCGCCGTGAAATCTGGAAAGATATCATGCCCCCCGCCATGATATCCACCCCCTCCTAGTCATCACCCCCTTTTGGCCGCCCCCACCCACGTCCTTTGACAGCCCCCAGGCCCAGCGAGGGCCCCGAGAGGCCACAGGCTACGAAACACCTCCGTCTCGATTTTGCCGAGACGCCCAGCGATGTCTGGGCGACGGCAGGTTCCCAGCAGGCTCCCGGGGTCAGAGGTGTCGGAACTCCTGGGCGCGGCCTCCTCTTCCTCCTCCTCCTCCTCCTCCTCTTCCTCCTCCTCCTTCATAGTCTTCTTGCTGCTTGATCCTCCTCCTCCTCCTCCTCCTCCTCCTCCTCCTGCTCCTCCTCCACCTCCTCCTCCTCCACCTCCTCCTTCTTATTAGCCTAAGTATTATCCTCCTCCTCCTCCTCCTCCTCCTCCTCCTCCTCCTCCTCCTCCTCCTCCTGCTCCTGCTCCTCATCCTCAGTGGGGGCCCCGGAGAGCGACCCCGAGGCGGGGCTACTAGTGGGGGGTGACAGGCCCGCGGCCTCCGGCCACGAGCGTGTGTCGAGACGGCCCGCGCGCGGGTCCCACAGCGACCCAGGAAGCGCCCAAGGCGATCCAGGAAGGGCTCCAAGAGGACTTCGAGCTGGACCCAAGGGTTCCAAAAGGGTTCCAGAAGGTTCCAAGGCGCTCCGGAGAGGTTCCAGAGGGGTTCCAAGAGGGCTTCGAGCAGGGCGGGACCCACGCGTTGTCTTTCGTGCTGTTCTCGTTTTGTGGTTCGCGTTGCTCGGCCTGTTTGCCTGCACGCTACCGCCCACACAAAACGAAAGCAAAACACAGCCGATGTCCAGCAAAACAGCGTTCAGGTCTAGTTTTGACTTTCAGAGGCCCCGAACACGCCGAAATTATCGATTTTGCTTTGGTGTTCAAGCGATTTTGGCGGTACCGCCCTTTCGAGCTGCCGACCGCCCTGGACGGCCAAAGAGGCCCCAAAGAGGCCCCAAGATCGCTCCAAGACGGCCCAGAAAGCCTCCAAGAGGGCTTCCAAATGACCCAAGATGGCCCTGAGACGGCCCAAGAGGCCTCCAAGACGGCCCCAATACGGCCCCAAGAGGGGGCCCAGAGGAGGAACCCAAACGGACATTTCGAGATCTCGGCCCCAAGAGGCGCCCAGGAAGCCCCCAGAAGCCCCCAAGAGCCCCCCAAGCCTCAAAACTACTCCCCAGAGGCTCCCGAGAGCCCTCCGAAGAGATGGGGTCGGGGTAGATGGGGTCAGAGGATCGGGCCGCATCGCCGATGCATCGGCGATGCATCGCCGATGCCTTGGCGATGCAACGGCGAAGTCGGCGATGCATCGGCGACGTCGGCGTGGAGAAGATCGGGCTCAGCATCGAGCCGCATCGCCGATGCATCGGCGATGCGGCGTGATCCTCCGACCATCTACTCGGACCCCATCTAGGAGGCCTAGGATAATTGATCGTCCTCGCGGCCCTCTCGGAGGCCATACACCCAGACATCCAGCTGCTCAAATTGTTTCGATGCGTGGGCCCCGGAGGTCCAGGCCACTTCCCCGGGGCCGGTTGTTCGCCCTGAGTCGTTCCCTGACGCCCCCGAGGCCCGGCGAGGGCCCCCCGGATGCCGAACACTGGCAACCTCCCCCTTGGGTCAAACTTGCTGCTGGAGCGTCGCCTCGCTGGGATGGGAGCCCTGTGGAACCTGGCGGGGGCCTCCTGCCAAAAAGCACTCGGGCGGGATCGGCTGTTTCGAGTTATCTTGACACGCGGTGACGGATCTCGGTACTTAACTCGAGCTGTAGGTAAGCCACAGAACTGGCACGCACAGAAGCCGATTCAGAATCATCGTGCGCGCTCGTCTGTCGCACCCAGAGGTCTGAACTCGATCTGCTGCTCGAGCTACGTCTCCGAAACTACTCGTACTCTTCGGGTCATCTTGACAGGCCTGTCGGTTTTCTGTACACCATGCGAAATGCTTAAGAAATCATGGGTTAAGAAATTCATAGTCTCAGAACTTGCATAAAAACCCAACATTTTTTATCAAAATCTTAGGAGTTACATTGAAACGTTACGAATAATCGAGACCCTGGCCGAAAACTTAGGTTTTCTTAAGCATCGCCCAAGGTGTGCTTTACTCGGGCTGTCCGCCTGGAGGCCCTCTCTCGCGCTGCCGAGGGGGCGCTCTCCGGGGCGGGGCGGGGCCTCTCGGGCCGCAGGGGGGCGGGCGCCTCTCGGAGGGCGCCGCCGCCTCTCTCGGGCCCGGAAGGGCGCACTCGACAGCAGGTCGGGCACGTCCCCCTTTGCAGGCGGGTTTTGGACTTGGGCGAGAAATCGAAAAAATACTCCAAGAATATTCACAGGTTCTCAAACATACTGAGTAACAATCGCTCCCACACGCGTGTCTACGATGCTGGAGCACGCTTCCTGTAGGAGTACCCCTCTGGCACACGCAGTGCCCGGCATTGTCGTATGAATGGCGTCGGGCTCCAGCTTCGCCTCCCGCATGTCGCTCAGCAGCACCAGAGCCCGCTGCCACTGCTCGCCCTTCTCGCAGGCGCTGATCCCAGCGTTGTAGCTGACTAGGGCTGACCCGTGGACTCCGTCCACGACATCTTTCTGGAATGGTTCTCGGAGGAACGGCGCAGATTGTACCGAAAATCTACAAACACGGCGGCGCCTCGGGCGGCGGCAGCGAGACCGCGCATCGTGTCCGAGCTCTTGCGGCGCTCTGGCAGCTTGGCCCAGCGCACTGCTCGTTCACCCCCCTCCTATTGAGGACAGTTTCGAAGTCTCTCGGGGATGTGCGTCGAAGTCGAAGCCCATCTGAGGCGTCTCAGGAGCGCTCGGGGAAGGGCTCGGGAGGCCATCGGGGAAAGCCACCGAAAGCGCCGGGGAGGCTCGCAAGGATCTACAGGGAGGGCCCAAGAGAGCTTCAAGAAAATTTGAAATCCAGTGAACTCTTAAGAGAAACCGCTGTTGGGTCGGCCATCACCTCCGGGCGCGCCTTGATGGTGCGATCCAGTCGCATCACCGCCAACGGGAGGGTTTGTTCGCCATGTCCCATTCTGTTCGCCCAGAGGGTCTGTGGAGGCCTTCGGGCGAACAGAACGGGACAGGGCAAGGAATGGGGAAGACATGTCCGAATCTCCTGGGCCCCCCAGATGCTCGTCCGAAGAATGCGGAGAGGTCCCAGGGTCATATCAATTGGCTGCTGTCCCAGGGGTCCGGTCTGCTTGGCCCGAAGAGTTTGCCAAGGCCCCTGGGGGAACAGAATGGCACAGCATATCGGGCAAAGGGGGGCGGTAGCTGGCCTGTCAGACCCGGCGTTCGTCTTCTGCCCAAGCGGCGCGGGGCCCACGGGCCCCAGGGTTGGCGTCCCGCTGGGATTCCTCTTGTTCGCCCACAGGGTTGGAGGAGGCCTCCAGGCGAACAGAATGGGGCAGGACAATGAATGTGGGAGACTTGTCGCAAGCTCCCAGCCCCCCCAAGTGTGCGCCCGAAGGGTGTGGGGCCGCGTTGGCTCCCTCAAAGGGCCGTCTTGGAGCCGTCTAGGCCCGTCTTGAGGGCGCCGTTTGCCCTGATGGGGCCGTCTTGGTTCGTCGTGGGCCCCTCATGGGCGCGTCCGTAGGCCGTCCTGGGCCCATCGGGGTCCTCGTGGGGCTGTCTTGGAGCCGTCTGGGACCGTGAGGAGGCCGCCTTGGAGTCGTCTTGGGCCCCTCCTGTGCGCCTCCTTGGGCCGTCCTGGGCCCAGCAGGGGCCGTGTTGGCACCCTCTTGGGGCTGTCTTGGAGCCGTCTTGAGCCGTCGCAGCGCGCCTTGGGTTGTGCTGGGTCCGTCTTGGCCCGTCTTGGGGCCTTCCTGGGCGGTTCCTCGGACCCTCCTGGGACTTTCTGGGGCCTCTTGGTGCATCGGACCGCCGAAACGGCGGGAAACGCAAAGGGTGTAACAGTAAACAATGGAAAATTAACGATTTTTGCCAGCTGGGACTCTCTTGCCATCTTGGCCCGTCTTGAGGCCCCGAACGGGCGCGTCCTTGGGCCGTCCTGGGCGCACCCTCCTGGGACCGTCTTGGAATCGTCTTGGGCCGTCTTGAGCGCGCCTTGGGCCGTCCTGGGCCGGTCTGGGGCCGTGTTGGCACCCTCGCGGCGAGGAAGCTCGGAGGCGGGCTCGAGGCCTCTTCGGGGCCATTTTGGAAGCTGTTGGGGCCTCTGTAGGGGCCTCGTTTGGGCTCCTTGGGAGCCTCCTGGGGCCTCTTCGGGGGATTCTTGGCGGCCCCTTGGGGCCTCTTGGGGGCCTGTTTGGGCCTCCTGGCGCCCTCTTGGGGCGGAAGGCTCGGATTTTCGGTCCGTGGTCCCCCTCTTGGCCCCCTCTTGGGCCTGTCTTCGGGCCCTCGTGGGCCGTCTTGAGCGTCTCTTGGGTCGTCTTGGGGCCCTCTTGGGCTGTCTTGGGGCGCTCTTGGAAACCTCTTGGGCCGTTCTGGGGCGCTCTTGGAGGCCTCTTGGGCCGTCTTCGAGCGTCGGAAAGCGGAAAAGGCGAGAAGGCCAAAATCCTTCCAAAACCGTCGTAAAGCGGACGATTTTGAGGCCCAAAACCGTCCAAAACCTCCTGAGGCGGTCCCCTCGTCCGCCCCCCTCGCTTCGAAGCAGTTTTTAAGCCCCGTGGCACCTCTTGGGGATCTCTTTTGGGCTCCTGGGGGCCTCTTGGGCCTCCACTGGATTCGCTGCCCTCGGTCGGCAATCGTCGATCCTACGACGACTCTCCCCAACGGAGAAACATCGAAGGCCCTCGGAGCGTCCAACATTGTTCTTTTGTGCCTTCGATATGCCGGTCGCCTCTCGTCCGCTCCCCCCCTCCTGGAAGCAATTCTGAAGCCACTTAGGGCTTCGTGGGGGCCGTTTGGGGATCTCTTGGGGCGTTTTTGCCTGCGATATGCCTGTCGCCTCTCGTCCGCTCCCCCGCTCCTGGAGGGAATTCTGAAGGCACTGAAGGCTTCGTGGTGGCCGTTTCGGAGCCTCTTCGGCCTTCGTTTGGGCCTCCCGGGGGGGCTCTTAGGGCCCTCTCGGGCCGTCTTGGGTGCCTCTTGGGCCGTCTTGGGGCCGTCTGAGACCCGCCTCGGCGCCTCTTGGGCTGTCGTGGGCCGTCTTGGGCCGCTCCTGGGGTCGTCTTGGGTGCCTCTTGGGCCGTCTTGGGCGCCTCCTGGGCCGTCCTGGGGCCGTCCTGGGGCGTCTTGGGACCGTCTGGGGGCCCTCCTGGCCCGTCTTGGGGCTCTCTTGGGGTCCTCTTCGGCCGTCTTGGAGCGGTCGGGGGGGCTTCTTGGGCCGTCTTGGAGCGTCGGGAAGCCGACGAGGCGAGGAGGCCGAAAACATCGAAAAACACAGTAGAAATCTACGATTTCTGTCGCTCGGGGCCCTCTTGGGAGGCCTCTTGGGAGGCCTCTTCGGGCGTCTTGGACGCCTCTTGGGCCGCCTGGGGCGAATCTCGGGCGTCTTGGGCCCATCTTTAAGCGTGCCGGGGCTCTCCGGGGCCGTCTTGGGGGCTTCTGGGGGCCCTCTCGACATGTCCTGGGGCCTGCCTGGGCGGCCCGGGGCGGCCCGGGGCCAGCCCGGGGCGATTATTAGTCACTTGATCCTGCGCCCTTCTGGTACGCACTGGGCCCTGCAATGTAGTAGAGACTAGGGCTGACCCGTGGACTCCGTCCACGACATCTTTCTGGAATGGTTCTCGGAGGAACGGCGCAGATTGTACCGAAAATCTACAAACACGGCGGCGGCTCGGGCGGCGGCAGCGAGACCGCGCCTTCGTGTCCGAGCTCTTGCAGCGCTGCAGCAGCTTGGCCCAGCGCACTGCTCGTTCACCCCCCTCCTATTGAGGACAGTTTCGAAGTCTCTCGGGGATGTGCGTCGAAGTCGAAGCCCATCTGAGGCGTCTCAGGAGCGCTCGGGGAAGGGCTCGGGAGGCCATCGGGGAAAGCCACCGAAAGCGCCGGGGAGGCTCGCAAGGATCTACAGGGAGGGCCCAAGAGAGCTTCAAGAAAATTTGAAATCCAGTGAACTCTTAAGAGAAACCGCTGTTGGGTCGGCCATCACCTCCGGGCGCGCCTTGATGGTGCGATCCAGTCGCATCACCGCCAACGGGAGGGTTTGTTCGCCATGTCCCATTCTGTTCGCCCAGAGGGTCTGTGGAGGCCTTCGGGCGAACAGAACGGGACAGGGCAAGGAATGGGGAAGACATGTCCGAATCTCCTGGGTCCCCCAGATGCTCGTCCGAAGAATGCGGAGAGGTCCCAGGGTCATATCAATTGGCTGCTGTCCCAGGGGTCCGGTCTGCTTGGCCCGAAGAGTTTGCCAAGGCCCCTGGGGGAACAGAATGGCACAGCATATCGGGCAAAGGGGGGCGGTAGCTGGCCTGTCAGACCCGGCGTTCGTCTTCTGCCCAAGCGGCGCGGGGCCCACGGGCCCCAGGGTTGGCGGCCCGCTGGGTTTCCTCTTGTTCGCCCACAGGGTTGGAGGAGGCCTCCAGGCGAACAGAATGGGGCAGGACAATGAATGTGGGAGACTTGTCGCAAGCTCCCAGCCCCCCCAAGTGTGCGCCCGAAGGGTGTGGGGCCGCGTTGGCTCCCTCAAAGGGCCGTCTTGGAGCCGTCTAGGCCCGTCTTGAGGGCGCCGTTTGCCCTGATGGGGCCGTCTTGGTTCGTCGTGGGCCCCTCATGGGCGCGTCCGTAGGCCGTCCTGGGCCCATCGGGGTCCTCGTGGGGCTGTCTTGGAGCCGTCTGGGACCGTGAGGAGGCCGCCTTGGAGTCGTCTTGGGCCCCTCCTGTGCGCCTCCTTGGGCCGTCCTGGGCCCAGCAGGGGCCGTGTTGGCACCCTCTTGGGGCTGTCTTGGAGCCGTCTTGAGCCGTCGCAGCGCGCCTTGGGTTGTGCTGGGTCCGTCTTGGCCCGTCTTGGGGCCTTCCTGGGCGGTTCCTCGGACCCTCCTGGGACTTTCTGGGGCCTCTTGGTGCATCGGACCGCCGAAACGGCGGGAAACGCAAAGGGTGTAACAGTAAACAATGGAAAATTAACGATTTTTGCCAGCTGGGACTCTCTTGCCATCTTGGCCCGTCTTGAGGCCCCGAACGGGCGCGTCCTTGGGCCGTCCTGGGCGCACCCTCCTGGGACCGTCTTGGAATCGTCTTGGGCCGTCTTGAGCGCGCCTTGGGCCGTCCTGGGCCGGTCTGGGGCCGTGTTGGCACCCTCGCGGCGAGGAAGCTCGGAGGCGGGCTCGAGGCCTCTTCGGGGCCATTTTGGAAGCTGTTGGGGCCTCTGTAGGGGCCTCGTTTGGGCTCCTTGGGAGCCTCCTGGGGCCTCTTCGGGGGATTCTTGGCGGCCCCTTGGGGCCTCTTGGGGGCCTGTTTGGGCCTCCTGGCGCCCTCTTGGGGCGGAAGGCTCGGATTTTCGGTCCGTGGTCCCCCTCTTGGCCCCCTCTTGGGCCTGTCTTCGGGCCCTCGTGGGCCGTCTTGAGCGTCTCTTGGGTCGTCTTGGGGCCCTCTTGGGCTGTCTTGGGGCGCTCTTGGAAACCTCTTGGGCCGTTCTGGGGCGCTCTTGGAG